TGTGGTCCCAGCTACTTGGGAGGCTGAGACAGGAGACTCACTTGAGCCCAGGAGTTGGAGGTTGCTGTGAGCTGTGATGCCACAGCACTCTGCCCAGGGGGATAGCTTGAGGCTCTGTCTAAAAAAAAAAAATGAATAAAAATTTTGGGAAAGAAAAAAGGATGTTGCATCCGTGCTGAATATGTAGACTTTTATTTCTTGTTGTTATTCCCTAAACAATGCAGTATAACAAGTTTTTGCATAGTGTTTACATTGTATTAGTTATAAATGATTTAGAGATGATTTAAAGTATACAAGAGGATGCAGATAAGTTATATGCAAATACACTGTTTTATATAAGGAACTTGAGTGTCTGGATTTTCATATCTGAGTGGGAGTTCTGGAACCAGTCCCCCATAGATATCGAGGAATGACTGTATTTATTTTTTTTTGGATAATCATTACTGTATTGAAAATGATGTGAATCAATGGATATAGGCCAATGTGTGATGGATTATGGGGTGAATTTGTAGCTAGACACCTATACCAGACTGTTGGGTTTATGGAGAGAAGGCTCTAGTAGCATGCTGTAGGGTGCCAAGTTTTATGTTTGCCCCAGTCTTATTCAGTGTTTTTATCTGCAAGTTGGGTAGAGTTGTAATAACATAATAATATCACTTATTGAATGATTATGTATTGGGCCCTGTGGTTATGATTCTCTTTTTTTTATTAATATAAGAATACACATGATTAGGTTACATTAATTTGGGTTTATAAGGGTTATAGTCTGAGTTGTAGTTGAGTCCTTCACCCAGGAGTTCTGCCATATACCACTACATTATAACCATTTGGTGGGAGCTTACTGAGCCCCCTCCTCTCTCCCCCCACTTCTTGAATTTAATTGTGATTTTTCTCCTGCATGGGCCTGTAGTTATTGATTTACTAGTTTCAAATTAGTATTGAGTACATGGGATGCTTGCTTTTCCATTCTTCAGATTCTTTACTAAGGATAATATTCTTCATCTCCATCCAGGTAAATACAAAAGATGTAAAGTTTCCACTTTTTATGGTTAAATAGTATTCCATGGTATACCTTAGTTTATTTGTTTATTCATGGGTTGATGGGTACTTGGGTTGTTTCCACAGTTATGATTCTCTTTTAATTTTTGTGACAGCTCTATATGGTGGATGGTGTATACAGGAGGCTTAGAGAAGTATTTTTTTTTTTTTTTTAATTTTTGAGACAGAGTCTCTGTTGCCCTGGGTAGGTAGGTGCCCTGGTGTCATTGTAGCTCACAGCAATCTCAAACTCTTGGGCTCAAGTGACCCTCTTGCCTCAGCCTCCCAAGTAGCTAGGATTACAGGCACCGGCTAGTTTTTCTATTTTTAGTAGAGATGGGAGTCTCACTCTTGAACTTCTGAGCTCTAACAGTCCACCGACCTTCGCCTCCCAGAGTGCTAAGATTATAGGCACGAGCCACCGCTCCCAGCTATAGACTAGTAAAAGCTCCTGAAATTTTTAATCTTACAAATATCTGCTTTTCAATAATTTGGGATAGGTTATTTGGACCCAGCTTCCTGGCAAAAATGCTAGATGAGGATTTTGTTAGACCTTTTTCCCCCAATATTTGTGAAACTAGAAGAAATAACTAATACTTAGAACCTGAATCTTAGATGATAGAGTCAAAATTCAAAAAGACACACAGCAGATGGAACCAGATTAACCTGAAGAAATTTTAATAGGGGTAAATAAAGGTACTGGTGAATGGTGTCTTCATATGCTAATATATGTATGAAACCTGCAGGGTTCTTCCTGGGATGAGTCTTTCACTCAACTTAACTACTGTCTTCTATTCTTCTATTCACTGGGAGGTGGAGCCTAGAGCAGAGTGGGAAGGGCTAGAATCAGAGCATAAAAGGGAAGTTTCCATTGTGGAATTTCTTTCCTGGCAAGGATTCTTGTAGGTGACTGGTATGGTAAGATTTGAAAATGATTTAAAACCTGGATTGTTTTCGTGCTTTTAATTTTTTGTGACTTTTCCCTTTTTTATTCTTGCTTGATAGTTAGTACAACATTTAACTGTAAAGAGTCCAGCCATTTTTTCCCCCACGTACCCGGGCTGCAGTTTTAAAGTGGGAGCAGCATGCTTTTGGTGCAGTGGTTCTCAAACATCCTAATGCTGCAACACTTGACCCACAGGTTGAGAACCGCTGTTCTGGTGGATAGTGTCGTGGTGACTGCAGTGATTCAAGGAAAAGAATTTGCGATTGCTTCGTCCAGCTGCCCCTGCCCCTCCCTTCCTGCACAGTTTCTTTCCATGCGAAAATTTTAGGCACTTTTGTTTTTAAATCAGGAAGTATCCACCAAGGTTCCATTCAGATCGCAGGATTCTAGGAATTTGTAGTGCCTCTGGGATTGTTGTATTTTGTTTATTTGTAGTCTTGCACATTTTTACATAAAGAAACGGAGGCAGAGAGTTCTGATCCTTGAGGGTATCCATTTAGAGATTGAAGAATGAAACTCTCTTCAGAAGTGTGGGAGCATTCCTCCATAGTCATTAGGGTGGGTGGAGGGTGTCTTCTGGCAATGACCTGATGAGTACTGTGTTTGTGCTCAGTCCTTAGCACCTGGTATGCAGGTTATGGTTGTGGTTTTTTAAGTTCTTATAAGCAGAGTATCATGCTCTGGTCATTTTCCTAGGAACACAGACAGACCTACGGGAATACTCGGGAACCTCTCTTGGAAAACCTGACAAGCGAGTATGACTTGGATCTTTTCCGAAGAGCACAAGCCCGAGCTTCCGAGGATTTGGTGAGTATTAAAACCTCTAGGCTGAGGACTGCTTGTGAAAAGCATTTAGAACTGCCAAGAAAAGTGATTAGCAATCAATTTGATGGTAATTAAGTGTACCTTGCTGCTTGAATCTCTTTCTCCTCCCCCCAGTTATTCTTTGTTGGAGACTGCCCTCCCCATTTGTATTTAAAACTAGTCATCCCTCCTTCGCTTCTTATTAGAATTTTCCCCCTCTTTCCACCTTAGCTTCTGGAAGTACCAGTTTGGCTTGCTGGACTGTGGCGGGATAAAACAGCAGGTGCCTCTTTGTCTTTGGTTGGGCAATTTGCAATTCTGAGAACCTCTAGCCTAGGAGAGACCCTTCTCT